AAGATCTGAAACAAATTATATAGAAGAAAATATAGGTATTAAATTTATGGGCCTTGGTTATGGAGAACATTTTATGAATTTGACCCCCAAAACAGGGGAAGTTGAGGCAAAATTAAATGAATGGGGTTATTTCAAATTAAAAAGCTTCTGCACAGCAAAAGAAACTGCTAACAAAACAAAAAGTCAGTCAATCAAACGGGAGTGGTATTTGCTAACAACAGCTCTGACAAGGGATTAATATCCAAAATATATAAAGAACTCATACAACTCAACACTAAATGAACAATCCAATTAAAAAATGGGTAGAGGACCTGAAAAGACACTTCTCAAGAAGACATAGACATGGCAACAGATATATAAAAAGATGCTCAGCTTCACTAGCCATTAGGGAAATACAAATAAAAACTACAGTGAGATACCACCTCACACCTGTTAGAATGGCTATTATCAACAAGACAGGTAATAACAAGTGTTATTGGAGAGGATGTGGAGAAAAAGGAACCCTCATTCACTGCTGGTGGGAATGTAAACTGGTGCAGCCACTATGGAAAACAGTATGGGGGTTCCTCAAAAAATTAGGAATAGAGCTACCATATGTCCCAGCAACCCCTCTTCTGGGTATCTACCTGAAAAAATTAAAAATATTTATTTGCAAAAATATATGCACTCTTATGTTCATTGCAGTATTACTCAAGGTAGCCAAGACATGGAGACAACTGAAGTGTCCTTCGATAGAGGATTGGGTAAAGAAGACGTGTTACGTGTATGTGTGTGTGTGTGTACATACACACTACAGAATACTACTCAGCCATAAGAAAAGATGAAATACTGCCATTTGCAACAACATGGATGAATTTTCAGAGTATCATGCCAAGCAAAATAAGTCAGATGGAAAAGAACAAAAACCATGATTTCACTCATATGTGGAATATAAAACTGAAACTCATAAGCTGCAGATAACATTATGGTATTGTCTATAGGGAAGGGGTGGAAAGACAGTCAAGGCTAAAGGGGTCCAAATACATGGTGACAGATGATGATTTGACTTTGGGTGGTGGGCATGCAATGCAGTGTGCAGATCACATATCATAGAAATATGCACTTCAAACCTGTATGATCTTATTAACCAATATTACCCTAATAAATTTAAATAAAAATATATGTGTATAAATAAATTCAAATGGAAACAATAAGATCCTATTTTTATGCTAATTTGAATTCAGTGAATGGGTCTTCCCATACACTTCTGAGGTGAGTTAACTTGCCTTGTAACATCTTTTGGAAAGCAATTCAATGTGAGAGTTAACCTCAAATATTCAGATATACTGATCCAGTACTTTGACTATAAGAAATCAATCCCCCCAAAATCTAAAATACAGGAAGAAATACACCACAAAAAAGATAAGTGCTGTACCATCTATAACAGCAAAAACGATTAGAAAGTACCCAAACATCAAACAGAAAATTATTAGCAAAATTATGCAACACGTTCATAAAGTTATGTATTTTAAAGTGTCAGTTACAAAAGTTTTCTAGAAACACGGAAAAATACTAGCTACAATATTGAGTAGAAAATGCAATATCCAAATTGGTACGTAATATACCATTTATGCTTCATTTGTTAAAAATAGTATGCAATGAGAAGATTGGAAGGAAATACTATGTTCAACAGTGAAAATCTTTGGGTGGCAATAATATTTCTCTTCCTTTTTTCTCTGTATTTTCCATCTTGTCTATAATATGTCTGCAGAGTGTAAGGCAGCCTCGTTTCCATGGGCCTGAACTCAGACTCAGCTCTGCCTCTTAACAGCTGTGTAACCTCAGAAAATAAGTCCAACACTGTTTCTCTTCTGAAAAATTGGGATAATGATATCATTCACCTCACATGGTTGTTGGGAAGATTAAATGAGTTAATGTATGTAATACACCTCGCAACACACACCCCAACTCTAACCATCTTAGAAAAAAACTTTGAAGTGACAAGAATTAAACATTTACAAAGTAGTACACTGTATCGCTCTCATTTAATAATAAGAAGCTATATCATGGTTTCTAGGAAATGACTGATGTAATAGAGAAAAACAGATGAGAGGTTTTTTTAAAACATTTTTTATTGTTGTTTGAGTACAGTTTTCTGCCTTTCCCCCACCCTCCCCCACCTCCCTCCCCTGTCCTCCCCAGGTTATTGTCCATGTGTCCTTTACCATTGTTCCTGCAATCCCTTCACCTTTTCCCCCTAAAATCCCCACCCCCTCCCATCTGGTCACTGTCAGCCTATTCTCAATTTCAGTGTCTTTGGTTATATTTTGCTTGCTTGTTCATCTTATTGATTAGGTTCCTGTTAAAGGTGAGAGCATATGGTATCTGTCTTTCACTGCCTGGCTTATTTTGCTTAGCATAATGCTCTTCAGTTTCATCCACGCTGTCACAAAGGGTAGGAGCTCCTTCTTTCTTTCTGCTGCATAGAATTCCATTGTGTAAATGTACCATAGTTTTTTGATCCATTCATTTACTGATGGGCACTTGGGTTGCTTCCAACACTTGGGTATTGTAAATTGTGCTGCTATGAACATTGGGGTGCATAGGTTCTTTTGGATTGGTGTTTCAGGGTTCTTGGGATATAATCCTAGCAGTAGAATTGCTGGGCCAAAAGGCAATTCCACTTTTAGTTTTCTGAGGAAATTCCACACTGTTTTCCATTCGTTTCACCATCTGCATTCCCACCCACAGTGCACTAGGGTTCCTTTTTCTCCACAACCTCTCATAAACAAAGTAACAAATAAGAAGTGTTGGAGAAGTTGCGGAGAGAGTTATTTTTTTAATATTTACAAATTATATTCTCTTTTAAAACACCAGAATTTTACACCAACCTATCAAATGTTATCTTGAAATCTGAGAAATTGAAAATAGGTATGTTCAAATGATACTTTTTTGATATAAACACAGTGAGTGGCAACATAATGTGCAACACATAAATGTGCAACAGGGAAAAGTGAAAGACTGTCCTTCCCACACAGCAGATGAAGATACCAGGTTTCACATTCGGTCTTAGAGCTCACTTTAACATACCTTAAAATTTCTAAGATGTAGCCTTTACTTCCAGGATATACACAACTATATAAGGCAATATCTTTCCCCCTTTTTTCTAGAAATTATGGAGGAAATGAAAATGAAAAAGCAAACACAAATATCTTCTTCTGCAAAAAGAGAGAGAGAGACAAAAAAAAAAAACACCCCATCCAGATAAGGGTTATCCTTTATGTGCTATTTGAAATAGATCATGGGGACATGGGGAGAGGGAACCGATGAGGAAAAGACCAGAGACCTGTTTCTGAGGTTCCAGATGAGGTTGGAAACCACAAATTTTCCAAACAAAATAGTCAAGGATTTCTGGGCAGTTTTTGAGTGGGAAAGGTTGACTTTGAAATGTTCACATTTCTGGGACATTGTGTTGGATAGAGGAGGCAAGATCACATTATTTAAAATCTGGGACTCCTCATTCAAACCATGTGATCACTGAATGGCAGACCATCCTCTGAACATTTTATTCTAAGAAAAACGTTTTTATATCTAATTTAATTTGTATGCTTCATAGGGTTGGAAGACGGTACTTACTGAAAATGTAAGGTACTTATGCAGCCTGATATGTTGCCTTTTAAACTAACTTTATAAGGAATACATAGGCCGAAATTAAACCCTATTTACAGTGATTGACATGGCTTGTGGGGCTGGTGACATCTCACATTCTTTACCTACTGCCCACTAGGTTTAATCTTGTAAATTATTTTCAATAGGCATGGTATACATCCTGAATTATTTTATCTGAGATTAGCATCAACCTTGCATATCAATTGGTGTTTTCTCAATTTCTTGGAGATATCTAATTCACCATTAGCACAAAGGTTATTACCTAAAGCAGTGCCCTCCGTGAGTTCCACTGGGACCAATCCCCTGCTCTGCTTTGGGGCATTAAGAATCTGAATTCACAAAGTGTGTCTTGGATACACACTTAGTGATCCACCCCCTGCCTTCATCTCCACCTGACCATCTGGCTGCCCCACCCCACCACCACCTTCCCCACCTGACAGGGCTGCCTTCTGCTCAGTCCCAGTGCCTTCCCCTGGGAGCCTTGGTAACACTGTTACATAAAAAGGAAGCTTTTAAGCAGCTGCATCTTGCTGCTTCTCCCCTGCTCCCAAAGAGTTGTTCTTGCCTCGCATTGAAGCTAGAAATCCTTCTGTCCATTACTAAAAGTCAGCAGGAAGGTGGAGGTGGGTAGGCTTTCTCAGATGTCTAACTACCCCGTTGTCATCTCACACAGGAACAAGGAAGGAAAGAAACTCCTTCCCTGCTTCTCTCAGTGGTGTGTTATCAGTGCCTGGCACTTGGCAATTTCACCAGTCCCAAAGAAACTCCTATGTCCTGGCTTTCTGACTAACTGTCTAGTGTTGTTTTTCCAAACTACAACCCCACTTCTCCCTGACTTTGTGGCTTCATTTTCTATGCCTGTTACACTCTCTGATCACATTTCTTGAATGAAAGGGGAAGTTCATTTGGCCTCTGCAGGGGTTCCTGTGCACCTTGGCCCCCAACAAGAGGCAGTTCAATCCCACATGTGCATCATGTACCGTCACTACCGTTCAGGGCAGCAGAAAATCCAGGGAAGTGTAGGTGTCCTCACCACAGCATCCAGCTAGCCTGGGCAGCAGAGGGCTCTGCCCTGCCAAGAACTGCATCCTGTACTGGCAGGTCCTGGGGCCATGTCTCTGGAAGGTTCCCAAGTTTGTAAACACTATCACTTAGATCACTTCCCTGGGTGATGAGTTTATGACTGGTTGCTAAACTGAAAAATTCACTATTAACATCCATGAACTCTACCCTCGTACCACATAAATAATACAAGACACAGTTAGTCCCTACCTAGTGCTTTATTTCCAAGGATACAAAATCATCTGAAATTAAAATACAAAACACACTTGTTTCTTTTTGATTCCAGGTACCTGGAGGGAGTTTTCCTTTCAGTTTCCTTGAATTCCAAGTCACTACACTGTCACCATCTTTTAGGGAGAATGCAGGAAATTCCACACACTCTGTTCTCTCTGCAAACGCATGGAACCTGAAACATGAGGCAATTTGCAACATTAGGCTGGAGGTGGTATTTGCACATGTCTCTTCAGTCTCCCAAGACTGTGAACTTGCTATTCCTCACCTTTCCTGTACCTTGTCTATTCCCGCAGATGAGAGACAGGGAGGAGGGAGAAAACAGATGGCTCTTCTCTTTATTACAGAGTAATAGCTCAGCAAGATGGTATTTCTTCCCTGGATTCCCTGTGCTTATATTTATTCTTTGTTCCCAGGGTTCAATCATGGCCACCCAGTTTTGACAAGCCAAGTCTAATGTGGCTCCACAGTGCCCATAGTCCTGCAGTCAGAGAGCAGGCGACAACAGGCACCGGGGCTTACCTGCTCACTGCTGACAGGCTGCAGTTGCTTTAACCCAGCAAATGCACACTTTTCTAGGACCTACACATAGAATGAATGGAAAGGATTCTTGTGTGGATAGGTTTGTAGGGACTGATTCCTCAAGTGCAGCCTCAGGACCTGGGAGCTGGTTAGGGTGCATGTTCCCTCACCCTTGCAGACGCTGAGTCCAAACCAGCACTTGAACAAGCTCCACAGAGGACTCATGTGCAGCTTGAAGCTCAAAGGGTGCTGGTGTAGTGCATGGGTGATAGATTAAGTCACACCTGAAGTTACTTATCTGGAATTCAAACAGTCAGTAATCACAGGAAATTCCTTTCAGATGGTCAGAGGAGATATCTGAGTAATGCTTCCCTTGCCCCTCAGGGGTGGCCTGTTGCTACTCATTCAACACAAAGAGAATCCTGAAGCACAGGTGAGGATGGATGGATGGGTGGATGGATTGATAGTGGGAGGAGAGGTGTGGGCCTCACCTGGGCCATGGAAAGCCTCAGTCCTGTCTAATTTTAAAGGGTTTCAGGTGACATTAGGATGATGACTTGATGGCAGCGAACAAGCTAACCGTGTCCGATGGCCCCTCATGAAGCTGATGGAATCAGTCTGCTTGTGCTTGCCTCCTGCTGGGACCTCATCCAGAGCAGAAATGGCCAGCTTGCTAGCAGGGCAGAGGAGAGATGCTGAGGCTCTTCCTGGCAGGGCCCACACCCTGAGTGCCAAGGCCTTTGGTGCCCAAGACTTTCTACTCTCTGACATGTTCTCCAGATTGGAAAAGAGAACAAGGCAGACATTCCCTCTGGCTAACACAGCCCTTTTTGTGCACAAAGCAAATCACCATTAAGTTGGGCTCTTTGGACAGCCTGCAGAGTACAGCACTGCACCTGACAGCTGTTGGCTCTGCCCAGACACAGCCTTCAGTGCAGGGGTATGCAGACTCCAGGCCCCCTGCAGCTGAGATGCTCAGGACATGCCCTTACAGTTGGATAATAACTGCACTTGAGCTGGGGCTCAACAGCCAAAGTGCAGAGAGCCCTACTAGGAACCCCAGAGGCCTGGCACAGTAAGGAGGAGGAGCACCGCTGGCTGTGGGAGGGCTCACTGTCCTGGGCAAGAGCAGGGACGGGATGGCTGTCTACACCTCGTCCTCTTCTACAGACCTCCATGGTGCATGGCCTAAAGATCTGGAGCTGAAATGCTATGGTAAATTGCTAACATTTAAAGCGCTGAAAGTCAGAGTGAACTCCCTGTTAAATTACTGCCTGACCTCTCACCTGCCCAGAGGAAATGCCCATAGGGCCCAAGAAGAGGACAAGCAAGAAAGATGGCCCTGCCAGTTGCCTTTATCTGTCTCCAACAGCAAAAATGGGGCAGTGTGCCCTTTCTGTATTTGGGGGCTCAGAAGCCGAGAATGGTGGCCAACTACCTGATGTTGGAAGACTTTAAATTGCTTTAAGAGCAGCCAGAGCCACGTTCCTCAGAATCATAAGGGAGTCTGTGAAAAATTATGTCCCTGGCTTTCCATATCTCTGGGACTGCAGCCACGATATCTGCATTTTAATCAAGCTCCCTTAGTAGTTCTTATGCAAAATGAAGGGCTAAGTGCATATTCCCAGGTTCCCTGGTATCACGTGGAATCAGCTTGCAAGGTGAAACCCAGACATCCAAATGATTAACAAACTCCCCACACAAATGTAATGAGCAACTCAATTTGAGAACAAATACTCAAGAGCAGGCTTTGCATTCATTTCAGACAGGCTAACTTAGGAAAGGACGCAGTCACTCTTCCTGGAATCATATAAGCAGCTGGTCTTTCTCCATAAGGGGTTTGAACTTACACAGACAGCACTGTGGGACATGTTTTAAAATGTAGGTTTCATTATTATTCAGATATGATGAGGCCAACAGATCAGTTTAACTGTAACTGAAAATATAGTTTGGTACTCACAGTTCCTGCTATAAACTGAATTGTGTCCACCCTTCAATTTTCATATGTTGAAGCCTTAACCCATAAAATGATTTGTAGTGAGCAGAGCAATAATGATGGACCAGGTATAGAAGGCCACCAGGGCAGAAAACCCCAGGTGCCTAGCAATGGGAAAAATTGGGAAAACAAGGACCTCACTCGCCCCTGCCACAGGTAACCTTTCCTCCCCTAGCATATCTCAGGTCATCCAATTTAGACCCCCTGACCTTTCATATCACAGGTCAGGAGGCTCAGACCCTCCCCACACTTTTCCTCCCCTGGAATGTTGATAGTCCCACAGGTTAGATGCATTCCCCCTTAGAGGTAGAACAAACAAGCGGGCTGGAGATTAGCCCTTAAGCATTAAGCCCTCAGGACAATGAGGTGCTGACATCTCAGTTGTTTCAGCTCCAGCCCCAGAAAATCAGACAAGCTGACCGTGGGACCATGGCTGACATCAGGACCAGCTACACTGATGAATGATCCCCTGACCTGGTGTCAACAATTCAGTGGAGACCTGGACCCTGAAAGGGCACACCTGAAAAGCTGGTGAATATTTTATCGTATCTTCCCCTGAGACTGCCCCTAAAATTCCTGCCTGCAAAAGAGATAAAAACCCTCAAGACAGCCCTGGCCAGTGTGGCTCAGTTGGTTGGGCATCGTCTTGCAAAGCAAAAGGTTGCAGGTTTGGTCCCCAGTTGCAGTGTGTACGGATTGATGGTTCTCTACCCCTCTTTCTCCCTCCTTTCCTCTTTCTCTAAATAAAAAAATAACCCTCAAAACAGAGGACACAGCATGCAAGCTTTCCCTCTGAGGAGCGCACCCATACCTTTCCCTTTCCCCTCTTCTTCCCCACAGGCACACATCTCCTAAACTCTAAGGGTCCCTAAGACCTGCAACCAGGGGAGCAATGGGCAGCAGCAACATGTGCTGGGCTAACCCGTGGAACTATCTCTAAGGCCTCTTTTTCTCTGGCTTCTCAGTGAGCTAAAGCAGCCCTGCCATGGCTCACTTCTTTCCCATAACATCTCTAAAGAGCCAAAGCAGCCCTGCCTAGTTATTTCCCATTGCTTCTTCTGCGCTAAGCCCTTCCTTGTTTCATGGTCCCCAGCTTTAATAAACATGTCCTCAAAGTCACCTGAAATGTTGTGAAATCTTTCCTGCATGAAATCAAGAACCCGCACACTACCATCCGGCCCTATGCAGACCTGTTCAGGGCCAGGACACCTGTCCAGTAATAAAATGAGGTACTAAGGGTGGGTCCTGATCCTATAGGATTAGTATCCTTTTAAAAAAGACATACCAGAAAGATTGTATGCTCTCGATTCCCCTGCTTCTCTCTCTCTTTCTCCCCCTCTCTCTCTCTCCCTCTCTCTCTCCCCACTATAAAGGACACAGCAAGAAGGCAACAAGCCAGAAAGAGAGCTCTCACCAGAAAATAAATTAGCAGGCACTTTGATCTTGGACTTCCAGCCTTCAGAGCTGTGACAAACACATTTTTGTTGTTTAAGTCCCCCAGTCTGTGCTACTTTGTTATGGCAGCCAGAACTGACTAAGACAGTGCCCAAGAGGAGGGGCCCTACCACCCCACCCAGGGCCAAACAGGGAAGCACCAGGGCAGGTCAGGAGGCAGAGGAAACAAGGGTACAACATGAGCAAGAGTTGTGTTGTGGATTCTGCAGGAAGGAATGGATAAGGCAGAGTAAATGGGTTTAGGATTGGCTACATTTGAATAATTTCAGCGAGTTCTGAGGTACTTTTCTGGCATCTGGCTCTGAGCTGATAGAGGTCCTGAGGTGAGTCTTAGGCTCTAGATCAGTTAGTTTGCACATGAAAGCTGTACTCCCAGGGTCATTCACTCTCCCTGGGAATTAGCTAGCCCTGGGAGGGGCAGTCTTTGCAAGGCCAGCAAGGTCCCACCATGTTCAAGCATCTGAATTACAGAAAATAAAATAGCAAGATGAATACAGGGTAGAGGAGAAAAGATGCATGAAGTCTAAAGATTGTTGGAAAGATGAGACAAACACAGCCACACATTGGTTAGGACCATGAAGAACCCAGGACCCACTGCTGATCTTGTGGAAGCAGGCAGCTCACTTGTAGTCTCTCAGAGCATGTTTCTACCTACCTGCCGTGGGTCCTGACACTCAGATTCTTTAAAAAAGCTATAGTGTCTTCTCCTCTGGCATTGAAGGACACGGTGCAGACAGGACATGGGATCTCCAAAGACCTCTGGAGGAGAAGCTGCTTGGATTCCTCAGGAATGTCCCCCACCACAAAGTAGTAAATGGATTCAGTCTGCAAAACAGTAGTAGTAGCAATTACCTCCTGACATGCCCTAGCCTTGTCCTGGACTCGATGGTAATACACTTTCTACATGACAGAATTTTTTTAAAAGTGGTGGGGAGAGGGAGGAACAGAAAGGATAGCAGCACTGCTCAATGTTTTGTGAGGACATTTGGGGACCAAGGTCAGGAAGTGAAGAATTCAAGGCCTGGTGCCAAGGAGGTCTGTTGGTGGTGGTCTAGTGGTCATAGTCTTGGGTAGCACAGGGAAGGATAGAGTTGGCAGGTTTGGGAAAGAGCTTCCTCTGAGCCCATAAATACGTCACACAGATCAGGAACAGCTGTTTTCAATATGAAGACACACAGCCACCATGGTTAGGCAGCTTATTAGCCATTCCCTATGGTGAAGCCAGAATTCTACAGTCCAACTCCTCTATCCTCAGTCTGAGGCAGAATGTGGCAGAAGGACATATTCCCAGTTGGTTCACCCTCTGGCCTCATGTCACAAGGAAACAAATGCCTGGGGAGGTGAGGCCGTACTAACTTCACACAGCAGGTTAAGTGCCAGGTCCACTCACAGGACCTTGTCTCTCACTGCCATGCCAAGCCATGACAAGAATGAGAGAATGAACAACCCCTGTGTCAGAATACACACACACACACACACACACAACCAACCTTCAACCAGGGATCTGAAAGATGCATACCTCACCAGGTAGAGGCAATCCCACAAAGCTCCCTGATTAATGTAGATGATGTCAACTACCCTCCCCCCATCAAGGGCCCCCATGATAACAGTGCTATGGCAACCAAAACACCCTTGTTCTTCCCAGGATTTGCTTTCCCTGGCATTTGTCCCCCACTCCCAACCCCCACTCAAGAGCTTTGTAAACTTGGGCAAGTGATTTTAATGAAGACAGGGAATGCAATTTCCCTCATGACTGGGTTTAAACAAGGTGACTTACACTTATGTATATAAATCTCAGAAAATAAAAGCCAAGGGAGAGCCAGGACTACGTATTATGTAAACCTACCCTAGAAACACCTAGATCTACTGTCCATAGATACTGGGAGATAAAAACCCAGCAAATGTGTTGTGTTTTAAGGGATAAGTAGATGTCCTATCCCTTTAAGATTTATAAGTCTCTCTGTGCTCTAATCACAGATCCTTGATAGTGGAAGGTAAACCATCAATGATCTCCTCTAGATCTCAAACCTTGGCTTTACACCCACCTGACACAGAGATGGGATTATGGTCGGCTCCCCAACTGGTTAAGACACGCTGTTGGCAGTAGCTGGGCAGCTGTGTGCCCCAGGAGCCTGTGGGGGCAGGGTGGTGGAGGACGCAGGCTGGGAATTGGGAGACCACAGTGGGAGCTGGGACCAGGCTATTGCAGCAACAACCCTCCTCCAGCTGGGCACAAAAGAGCTTCCTATGTCCACCCTACCTCCCACCCCTGCGTCTTCTTTCAGGCCTTTTCACACCAGCTCCCTGATTTAAAAGGACTAATGGTACATTTACACAATGGAATTCTGTGCAGCAGAAAGAAAGAAGGAGCTCCTATCCTTTGCAACAGCATGGATGGAACTGGAAAGCAGCATGCTAAGCAAAATAAGCCAGGCAGTGAAAGACAAATACCATATGATCTCACCGTTAACAGGAACCTAAACAACAAAACAAAGAAACAAGCAAAATATAGCCAAAGACACTGAAACAGAGAACAGGTTGACAGTGACCAGAGGGGAGAGGGGAGGGAATTTCAGGGGAGAATGGGAAGGGTTTACAGGAACAAATATAAAGGACAAAAACTAGGGGTGGTGGAAATGGGAGAGAGGTGGGGAGGGATGGGTGGGTGGTCTGGGATGGGAATAAAGGACAAAAAACTATACTTGAACAACTATTAAAAACATATTATTATTAAAATAAATAAATAAAAGGACTAATGGGAGGTAAAGATTGAGGAAAGCTGTACATTCTCTCAGCCAGCCACCCAAGTGTCAGAAAAAAATCTAAGAAAGACGAGAGTGTTCTCCAGATTCCTTATTATTCCAAATATTGTTCCTCCAGCAAATGCACTAATTCCATTTTTACCCTGGTGTTATACATTACCCTGTGTAAGATGTATTAAGTAGATGCCACTGAACTGCACTGTTAGTAATCAGTGCTTCAGCTGTGTTGGTGCCTAAGCTGAACGGAGACGGATTCATCCTCTCATAAGGATCTAAATTCACACATGGCCTGAGACAGGGGTACAGACACAGAGGTACTTTCTTGGGTTTGTTAGCTCCACAGGGAAGTGAGTGAGGACAAACATCTCTAGGTGGTCAGTAGGCAGCTTCTGACACCCTGTAGCTCTATTGCACCTCATGCAAACTCAGCTTCTTTGCTCTGGCTATAACACAAGAGTCTGAAAATCTTTGTACAGAAATGGATTTCCCTCGAGGTTTCATCAGACTAAAAATTGTTGTAGCTAGCAATGACTCAGGATTTTCTTTCATTTACTAAGGCTATAGTGGTATTCATTAAAGCTTATTACTCATCTTCTTAATTGCCTGTGTTTCTAATCAACTCTCAGTTATCTGTGCTACAAATTTCCTGGGACATGCTTTCCATTGAGACTGCCTATCCCACTCCCATTCTCTTCCTGCACCCTGCCTTCATGCTTCTCCTTTCTGCTCACAGAATGACATTGAGAAAAACACAGAGGAAGATAAGCATGCTACCTATCACTATCCCCTCCCCAAACTGGCAAAATGCCTTTTAAAGTGAAATGGCTCTGGCGCCATCTACTATTTGGGATGATAAGCTAACATGAATTATTTTATTCAACACTCACAAGAGTCCTGTAGAATATGAATTCTTATTCTCATGCCCAGTTTCCAGATGAAGAAAATGAGGCCTAGACAGGTTAACTGACCTGGTCTTGCAGCTAGTAAAGCCAGGTTACCTGACCACCACTTCACTCACTGTGTCACCTCACCACAGCAAGGCTGGTCACCTATTGCAAATGAACATGCATTCCCAGAACTATGAAAGCAAGATCATAGGACACAAAAGTGGCCAGAGACCAGAAACCATTTTCACTTCCGTGGCTCCCACACCATCCTCGGCTCCGACCACCTGATAGCAACATCACTGACCAAAGCTGGGTCCAGGAGGTTGTCTGACTCAGGGACTTATTCTCCTGGGAACCCACACCCCTAACCAGCACCTCTGAGCTCCTTGAGACAAGGGTCAGTCTGGACAATCAGCAGCAGCCTGGACCAGGAGCAGCTTCCTCACTGATCAGTATTTCCCTAAAAGCTGATTTGCACGGAATTTGATAACACAAGACATGGACAATATGTTACATTCAGCTATTTTACTGTAAGTCACAAATTCTTGCCACTTTATACTACATAAAACAGGGTAAAGCCTTTCTGTAGTCACTTAAAATGTCTTATTTTGCCTGGACCATTTGTCCAGTAGCTTCCCACAGTAACCTGCATTCTGCTTGGCCAAGGAATCCTGAACAGCTTCCCAGCCATGGGTTTGGTGGAAAACAAGCACCAGACTTGGAGAGGCTGCTTCCTCTCTGGCTGCCTGCTGCTCTAGAAGCCCTCATGGACCTAAGTATCCCTGGACTAAGTAACCCTGGACCTAAGTATCTCCACTCCACAAGGAAGCAAAAATGAAAGTTGAGCAGAACAGCAACCAGAGGTCTAGTAGAATTCTTTCTTGTTCTTCACACAACTTTGACCACTGCAGTTTAAATCAACCCAGACTTTAAATTGAACTTCTAGATCCTCCCTGTGCCCCCTTTCTTGGCTCAGCAATTTTGATTTTCTGATTCTCCTTACAGCAGAGACTACCCTATGGTCTTAATCCAGCTCACTTCTCAGATCCATCTTAACATCCTTGACCACCACTAACTTTCTGGCCTCCAGGCTTCAGTGTCCCTGTGTCTACCCACTGTCCCTACCAGAGTCACACAAGGCTCAGCAAACTCACCCGCCTGGTCCCACGCAGACCACACCCCTTCAATTCAAAAAACTCAAATATGTACCATAGCTTAGGGATGAAACTCGCTTAGACTCACTTCTAGCCCCCAAACTCAAGAATGTCAAAGTATTTCCTTTCTGTTCCTTCAGTGTTCAACAAATATTCATCGAGCCCTTGCTAGGCACTGCCATTGCTAGGGATACAAAGGTGAAAAGATCTGATGCCTGCTAGCACCACCTCAAGGAAGTAAATGAAATGTCAACTTTGTGATTGATATGGCCAGTCCTTCAGCTTACTGTCCAGTGGGGAAGGATCCTTACGGAATCATGTGGGTCTGTCTCTGATTCACCCAGTTAGTCCTCCAGAAAAGAAGTAAACAAATTTGTGCTTATCAGATAGATGAGAGAGGCTGTAAGAACAGAGAAACACAGGTGCTCTCTGGGTAGGTGGCATTCTGTTGAAAGCAGAGGCAGAGCACCCTGGTTAGCCTCCTCAGGCAGCTGAGATCATCAATCTATACCCCTCACATCCTGGACCAGTAGGCCTTTTGGGGGATCCTGGCACAACACTTGTTCCTCATAAAGACCAAGGAAGCCACCAACTTCCTAAAAGACATATCCAGGGACCACAGTATAGTGCAGAGCAGAAATCCAGAGCTGAACTGCACACCTGGGCTCTGAGGCTGAAGCTAGCCCCTGGAAACTGCCGAACATTTCCTCAGTACCCCACAGACTGTCCTACTCACGAACCAGATTTTTTCCCACAGGATACAACAGTAATTCATCCATCTACAGTGTTCTTCATATGCCATGATTAGAGATTTAAATAGACTCCTCAACTCTGCTCAGCTCCTCTGGACTTGAAGGTTTACGCTTAGTCATCCCTCTCTGTTCTATATACTTGGCCTACTTGTGGTGACAAAGTCCAGTCCTGGAGGAGGCCAGTGGCCTCTGAACATCCTTCTTCACTGTAACCAAGCACACCAGGCAGTCTTCCCTCTTCAAGTGGACCTGATACAAAAACCCAACTTCTCTGTTAATCTTTGGACCTAAGTCAATGCTCACTTTTTTGGTTCCTCTCAGGACTCACTCATGAGAGATGTTAACCCAAAGCAGGTTATCATCAGAAGGAAAAGTCTGGGTGTTTAGCTTTATTGTTCCAGTTTCTTAAACCTTCAATCTTTTCTATTCATAGCACATGGCAGTGACATGGATCAATTTAAATCTCACTGGGTGGACATGAGGTTCACAGAGCACAAGATCCATTCTCCTCCCCACTTGCCCTACACACACATGCAGGCTTTGTTACTCCCCAGAAAACATAGGGAATGGCATTTTAATGTATGAGGCAGTTGTATTTAGAAGATTTTCCTTGAGATCACACCCAGATAAAGCTCTAGGTGGAGGAACACACCAGCCAAAGTGTGTTTTGCATTTGCCATATTCCACAGTGTCTTCTCAAGAGTTTTCACATGGCATTTGATGATCAGTGCCTGTAAGCTTCTTTCTGGGTTCTCTCTCTTCTATTGGACTTCCCTAGAACTCACTAAAATATGTTCCATATTTCCTGGGCTGGGAATGAAACCCAGAGAAAGATGAGGCACAAGCCAGAGGTAAGTAAAATAGAAAATCAAGGTCACTGGGAAATCTTACAGTCATGTCAAGTTGTCAGAGTCAGCTATGATGAGGGAAGCCAGGTGAACAAAGAAAGAAAACACCCATGTGCATGCACACACACGAGCCTGTGAAATGTTCCATTTCTTGAATGCTAATTACAGTGTCCAGACACTTGAGATTTTACAGATGTTAAGACAAACTTGAAAGGCCATAGAACAAAGCAGCTTGTATTTTGTTCTTCTTTAATAGGAAACATTTGCTCTTCTGGCTTTGTAAGGATAAACAATGTGTTCCAAATTTTAAACCATCATCCTCAGTATCAATAAACACAATCTGGTGACCACTGGGGACTGTCCTTTCAAGGTGCCAGCACATGGCCTTCTTGCTCAAGAAGGACTTCTTAATGCAGCAGAATAAAGCTTGAAATCTACAGAATTCCCAAGATTCCAGGATGGACAAAGAAATTAAATATTAATGAACATTAATTAATAGGTATTAATTAAGTAGCTGAATCTCAAAGGAATGGGGACCTACCCCCACACAGGGAGTTGAGGCAAATAAAAGGACCCACCTACCCAGAGGACTTCCTCTCTGGCTTGCCACTACCCTTAACAGTCCCACCATTATAGTCACTCACAAAAACACATACTCTTGTGGCTAAAAGACACATAAAACACCACCATGCTAGTTACTTCTTCCAGATAAATCTTTATTTCCAGAAAGTCCCTATCAAAATGCATATGTGAACACATTAACATTTGAAAATGGATGAATCATTGGCACGGATATACTTCACATTCAAAAGCACATGACAGACCCATTTGTGAAAAAGAGGAAGTGTAGGAAAGCTCCAGAACATAGATGTTGGGCAGCCCTATTTCCTTATTCTAAGGGCTCTATGAGGATTCTTCCAACCTCTCCCCCTACAAGGGTTACCTGATTCATCTAATTGTCAGGAGAGCAAGGGTGGAATTAAAGAATTAGAGATGCAGAACTATGGCCTAATACCCTGTCCTTTCTCAATGCTCAGTGGCTATGAGCAGCATGTGGCTATCCTGGTAGTAGCTAAGTGAGGGTTGACCCCAATCACCCCACCAGGGAGCCCAGACAGGCAGTCCCAGAGGACAGGTGTTACGGAGTCTCATTTTTTCGGTCCAGCTCTGCCATCACCAAAGCTGCAACTTTAATTCCTGCCTGGGGCCTGTCATCTGTTTCTTACTAGGTTCCAAATTCAGAGGTCAATAGGATTAAGACTTACGGAACTCTTTAATGCCCATGATGCCGCCCCTGTGGCATGCCACTGGGAAGGGACCAAGATCAGCTAAAAGGCAGTATTAGGATATTGAGTGTGAAGAAGTAAGCTTGAAGCCACTTTGCAACCCGAGGTAAGCCCTGGATACACACTTACAGTTTTGTCTTTCCCAGCTTCCAGCAGAGCATCCAGGCGGCTAGTCGGGCTTAGAGCCTGCTCATAGGTCAGTTTCTCAACCCAACTGATGGCAGCAGCTATGGATTGTTCCATCACCGGAGCAGTATTTTCCTGCCATTTCACAGGCTCTTGAGAGGCCCTGAAAGGAATTGCATGGGGCTGTCACTGGGCAGTGGCTAGCATAGCTGTCAGCCCTCAGTCTCACAGCTATGAGCAGTAAGCCCCTTAATGTCACCAGCGAGCTGGAAGAAAAAATCACCTCCCAGGCCTCTGAAAGTTATCAACAAAACTATTGGTTTTGAGACAGGTTTCCAAAATATGATTATCTTCCATCAGTTGGATTTGGGAAAACAATGTTTATAGGAGAATAGAAAATTTCAAACATTATGAAGTGCATTAAAATTATAAAGGGAAGTTGTTTTCATAAACAGGTTTATATGACTATCTTCTATTACTAGTAAATTTATAAGAACTCACAGCATTAATATTTGCAAATCAGCAATAATTTTATTATTCTAAAATTTTACTTCTAGTTCTCTTATTACATTGTCTTCATTATTCTGAAAGACTCCCATTAGTGACATTTGGGGATCAAAAATCATGTTGTTCTGCCCTGGTCAGGTGGCTTAGTCAGTCAGAGTGTTGTACCATGCACCAAAAGGTTGCAGGTTTTATCCCCCGACAAGGCACATACAAGAGGCAACCGATCAATGTTTCTCTTTCTCCAAACCCCCCTCTTCTCTTTAAAATCAATAAATATATTCTCAGGCGAGGATCAAAAATATATTTAAAAAATGAAAACAGCCAACACAACAATAGCTGTCTAGTATGAATGAATCAAAATTATACCAATTTTTTATCAGATCAGCCAAAAATATATTTTTTGGGTGTGCCGCAGAATTTTAGTAACTAGTTTATGTGTGTCATGAGAGGAAAAAGGTTGAAAATCACTGGACTAAATGAATTGTCCTGAGTTGTCTCTCGGAGCCCACCTCCAGGGACAGAGGGGGCCTCACACATGTGTCCCTCTAGGTAGAGAATCTGGGTATAGCATACATTTCCAAGAAAGCTGAAGTGTTGCAGACTTAAGTACTTAGTTCCTTCAGTAATATATCTGTAACAGAAATGAGAACCTGGGGTAGAATACAATTAGGCAGCATCCCCAAGATGTCATCTATTTAGCTGAAAATAATTTATTTTTAAAAAGAAAAACTCAGGAAAAAGCCCCCCCTTCCAGATGTTTCTTGTCAGGGAGGTGAGCCACTACTCCACACAGGAAGTTGGCCCTGTGGTCCAAATCCTCTCAAATCCAAGAATCCATAAATGACTGATTGTGAAACCTCCAAAATATGGGAAGTTCTACAAAGCCAGGGGTGAACCCATGGGAGATCAACTTGAGGTGCAACCTCAGTGTGAAAACCAGTAAAATCGGTGATAAATTTGAATTCATTATCCAAGCCAAAATCTAAGACAAATGAAGGGATTTTTATGGCCTTAAATATGCATTCAACATGATTTGTACTTTTATATTTTTTGCCTTGCCTTGCATTGAAAAAGGATGTTTTCAAATCTCTCCTAATTTGAAAACTAAGGTGCTATGTGCAAAGCAGATAAAAGTTTTCCAATATTTATTCATTGTTGGTTCTCTGCTAGAATTCTATAGTCTAGGAAATTACAAGAAAACAGTCCTTCCATAGAGCTCTGTTAGTTATGCTACTTAACTCTGAATAAATGAAAATTACCTATGAGGTTTCACTGAAATATCCTGTTCCTGTGGGAAACTTACCATATGATATTGAACTTGGCTGTGTGAGCCACCTGCTCCTGGAGGACCATTTTTAGAGCGTGTTGGCAGAGATTAAGCTCCCCCTCCTGCATGCCACCAAAATCCAGCACAATGGTGATGCACTGTTCCAAGATGACACCAAAAATCTGCTGGCTTCTGCTGGTGAGCCAGTCCATCCGCTGCTTATAGCTCTTCACAGCTTGTGTTAAATGTTCCACAAACTGATAGATCAGTTCTGATTTGGCTGTCAGCTTAATGAAATAAAAGCAAAAAGAAAACAGAAGTACACCAAAATAAGTCATCTTGAACCATGGAGCCAAGAACAACAGGGCCCACTGAGTCAAAGCCTCTGCCATCAAGAACTGTGTATTAATAACAACTGTATGGATGATCCTCCAAATCCCACATAACACAAAAGGAAGTGTTCTAGTCTTTCAACTGAAAACCCCCTGCTGATTCCCCAGAGAAGGAAAGATGATTGTGTTCTATTCAAAACACAGCACTCTTTAAAACAATCTATTTCTAGATCATGTTTTATCTTTATAGTTAGAGAATTATCTTTATCAGAAAATATCCAGGGGAAATTTTAAGAAATTAAGGAGAAAAAAAAAGAAAGATAAGCAAAAGCTAGAAAGAAAAATAAGCCTCTAAAAAGTTTTCCTAACTACAACATGCCAAAAATATTTTTGAAAATGCTTATAAACATGCCAGCACATCTGTCTGGCTTCCTCTAAGGATGCTGCCCCAGTGACTCATCCTCTTGCTCACGACCTTATCCTGTGTCTTGTCTCGCAGTCCAGGCTCCCCATATCTAGATCACTTGATCACCTATAGATGCCACAAATACTTATAGAATCTGTCATTCAAAGGTGACAGAGGCTTAAGGGTAATTTCTTGTATACACAAATATAGCACTATTTAGATAGATCAGGCACAATTGTGGGAGGTCTTTCAGGGTGTAGGGTAGTAGGAGACATAGAAACAGAATAAGAAAAAATTGTACTCTATTCAGTGAAGAATCAACATTTTAAAGATCTGGTACTTTTTTAGAAACTTCAAAAACCCTCAAATGCCCCAAATACCTAAATTGTTGAGGAAAATATGTTTTTTGAACACACCATGTAATTCCACATTTTCATGCCCTGTTTCATGCTGCTCCCTCTGTGTTAAACTCCTTTCTGTCCCCATACTCTTGGCAATCGAGCTTCTTCCTCAAGTTCCAGCATCAATGGAAGCAGTGTAAGACTCTCTGCTTGGGCCACCCCCAGACCTCAGCAGTGCATCCCTGTGCCTTATGAGAACTTCAGGAAACATCCCCCAGGAATTTAACCATGCTAGCAATATATACGTACAATTTTTTTTGAATTGTGATGATAATTTAAAGTCACCCATAGACAAACACCTTGTGTAAAACAGGCCTGCAGTCCCACATCCTTGGTCTTATACAAAGACCTGTTAGGGGAAGGAGAATGAGAAGGCCCAGTTGTACTATTAACTTGGAGAAGAGGGTATGCTTGTGTTTACTCTCCAGAAGGACCTTTGGAGCCGCTGACAAAGAGGGTGAGGCCATATCATAGAAAAGGCTTCCCTGGCAGTGACCCACCTCCACCCCATTGGACTCTTCCCTTCCGATCTAGGATTCTTTGAGCTGTACATCACCCACCCCCAAAGAGGAATTCCATCCAGTACTCCTGGAGTGATATTCAACATCATCTAAGAGAGAATTTTTCTACCAATTTAAAAGAATGAATTGATAAATTGCAGCTAGAATTACATCAGCACCTGCAGGACATTCAACACTTAACCAAGCAAGAGGTTTTTCAAACTCTCTGTGATAATCTCAGCTGGCTAAACCCCAAAAAACTACTTTGATGAACTTAACCAGAGTGTGGGTCTTTGGAGCCACTGGTTGCTTACTGATTATAATAATGCTCTGTGTACTTTGCTACATTTGCAAATTATTTTCCCAGGGTTATGTAAGAGACCAGCAAGTAGCAAGCTTTGTGGGATCTATAGTGGTCCTAACTAAAAACAAGGGGGAAAATATAGGGGACCATTCCACATAGTATGGAGAATGTAGCCCAGCCCCCATTCAGAATGGTCAGTAGGGCATGAAGTCTGGCACACAGGACCCATGCCCACAGATAGGTTCTCCTGTGGGGAATCAGGCCTGTATTGTACCTGGGTTGCTATGAGGCTTGCTTTTGCTAAAACTCCCTCACCCTGAACTGAGGCAGCAAATGTTTACTGCATATCTTTAACTTCCTCAAGTCTGTGCTAAACCTCCTAAGTATGGAGTGTAACCAGTTCAACCACTTTTCCCCTTGATCTGTAACATCCTTCTCTTTGAAGTAATTGGCAACATTCTTTCCTTTGTTATCGGTAAACGGTAATCACCTACAGCAAGCCTGTGCAAAGTAAATGAGGACCATCCTCAATGTAATGTACCCAGAAAAGCAATAAAAGCCTGTCCAAGCAGGGGTCAGGAACTTCTCTCTCACTTAGAGAATGGCCATGTCATCCCTTTTTTCCCACAGGACTTCCATAGTCCGTGTGAAATTTGTTCAGCACAGCCACAACACATGGACCACGTCCAGAGGGCATCAGGAACTCCCACTTACGTTGTATGCCGTACCATCTTCTGCTCTGCAGACCTGTGGAAACAGGCCATCAGCATACCGGGAAGCCACAAATCTCCCTAGAGAAGCCACATAATCTGCATTTTTATGTAAAAAAAAAAACACAATCAAAATGGTGTTGCCAATGCTTCTTATTTTAGTTAAAAATGCTTTTCTCTGGCACCATTCAAATTATATCCCCAGTGACAGCAACACTCTGATGCTTTGTATTCTGATCCAAATAATAAAGTGTTTCTAGGAGCTATGATAAATGCAACTGTTTAAGACATGAATAATACTTTAATATATGAATGAATGTGAAGGAAAACAGGGTTTGCTTCTTGCTTTCCTGGTTCTTCTGTAAAGTATGATTAAGTCACAGGTCAACAAGAAAACAGAGAAGTTGTGTTTAATTTCTGAAAACTTTTATTCAGGACTTAGACTTGTTTTCAGAATTTTAAAAGTTAAACTTAGATATTATCTATCGTTCTCTCAAGTGAGGGTTCATGAATAGATGAGTGAATGAAGCAAGCTGGTAATAGATTCTAAATACTCACATGTAATGTCAACAACCACAAGATTTTTTTGATTATGTGCTCAACTATTCAACATCTGTTGCTCAAACACATATTGAGCACCCACCACACGATAAGCACAGTGCTTACAGAATGGGAATATAATACTGCCTAAAACCATTTTACTCCTTCATGGAACAGAAGATTACAGAGACGATTCAAGGACTAACTCTGACTTGGCAAGACAGAAGATGAGACAAAGCTTCCCAGAGATGTTCTTATTATGATTATTATGTTATTGTTGCTGTTATAAAGTCCCAAAGATGGAAGACAGAATGGTGGTACTCTTGGATCCAGTGTGTCCATTCTCTGCCTTTCCAGGGAGGCAGGATAACAGCCTACTTTAGGAAGGCAGAAAGGGCATGACTGAATTTTAATTTGCAAGACTTGAACTTCAATGTTCATAATAGTAAAGAATGGGTTCTTGAATTCCACCAACAATGATCTCACTCATGTGGATGAAAAAGGGGCCACATACTAAAGCTGACTGGCTCAGGGGAAGCCTGCATGGTGGCCTCACAAACTCAAGAGACCTAAAGTAACTGAATAGGGTAGTCGGGAATTAAAACTTCCTAACTAAAAGTGAGTTGTGTTGAGTAGTCAGGTCCTAGGCCAGTATCTGCCTTGACAATGGTCAATCTTTGCCTTAACTAAGCCTTGTCTATTGTCTTTTTGCATCTAAGATAATGGAGTAATGTTTTTCCAGACCCCTCGGGGCATAATCTTCCAGAAGAGGAGAGATCATGGAAGCTCTCATTGTTATCTTATTGCCCAAATACCATCTCTATGTGCTGCTGATATTAATTGTTAACTAACCTATACCCTTCAATGTAAAAGAAGTACCGTCTCTGTAGAAATCCCCACACCATTGTTCATTCCCATGGGTCATAAGTTCTTTGGTTTCTCCATTTTCTATACTAGACTTTATATTCTCATGGTTATTCTGTAACTACCTATTTGTACTTCTTAATCTGCTCACCTCTTCACTCACTCTCCCATATACCCCTCCCATCTGGCAACCATCAAAATGCTCTCCATACCATGATTCTGTCTCTGTTCTTGTTTGCTTAGTTTGTTTTTTATATTCAGTTGTTGATAGATACGTATTTTTTCCATTTTATTGTTCATAGTTTTGATCTTTTACTTTTTATTAAATAAGTCCCTTTAACATTTCATGTAATAATGGTTTGGTGATGATGAACTCATTTAGTTTTTCCTTATCTGGGAAACTCTTTATCTGCCCTTTGATAGCTTTGCTGAGTAGAACAATCTCAGCTGTGGGTCCCTGCTTTTCATGACTTTGAATATTTCTTGCCAATCCCTTCTTGCCTGCAAAGTTTCTTTTAAGAAGTCAGCTGACAGTCTTATAGGAACTCTCCTTTAGGTAAATAACTACTTTTCTCTTGTTGCTTTTAAGATTCTCTCTCTATCTGTGACCTTTGGCTTTGTAATTATGATGTGTCTTAGAGTGGGCCTCTTTGCATCTATTTTGTTTGAGACTCTCTGTGCTTCCTGGAATTGCATGTCTATTTCCTTTACCAAATTAGGGAAGTTTTCTTTCATTATTTTTTCAAATAGAGTTCCAGTTTCTTGCTCTTTTTCTTCTCCTTCTGGCACACCTATGATGAGAATGTTGGAAATCTTGAAGTTATCCCAGAGACTGATTACACTATCATCATTCTTTTGGATTCTTTCTTCTTTTTGATATTCAGATTGGTTGTTTTTGCTTCCTTATATTCCAAACCATTGATTTCATTCTCAGCTTTATTCACTCTACTGTTCTTTCCCTGTAAATTCTTCTTTATTTCAATTAGGGTATTCTTCCTTTCTGACTGTACTCTTTTATGCTGTTAAGGTCCTCACTAAGTTCCTTGAGCATCCTTATAACCAGTGTTTTGAACTCTGCATCTGATAGATCATTTATCTCCATTTCATTTAGTCTCTTTTCTGGAGTTTTGACCTGTTTGACCTGTTTTCATTTGGGCCATGTTTCTTCGTCTCCTCATTTTGGCAGCCTCCCTGTGTTTGTATCTATGTATTAGGTAGAGCTGCTTTGACTCCATGTCTTAGTGGCATGCCTAATGTAGTAGATGTCCTGTAAGGTCCAGTGGCACAGCCTCCCTATCACCCAAGCTGGGTACTCGAGGTGCAACCTCCTTGTGGGCTCCTCTTGTAGTAGAGCCTTGGTGGCTGTTAGCAGGGCAATGGGAGAGATTTAGCCAGGCCAGTCAGCTGCAAGGACTGGCTGTGACCACTGACCACCGACCTCCACCCTCTGTGGAGGATCAGCTGCACAGGGGAAGACTGGTGGTGTTCCTATGTGATCTGTAGCTATCCACTGGGTTTGTAGGCTCTGAGGATTCCCTGGTGGTACAAGCCAAGTTCAGCCCCCACCTGTGTTCTGACCAGGGCCACTCTGCATGAGCTATAAAGCCAATTGCAGATGGCTGCTACTTGTGCTGGGCTTAGAGATTCCCAGGCAAAGCCAAACTGTGATCCAAAGCTGTCTGCTGCTAGTGCCAGTCCTGGGGCCACACAGCAAGTGGTACAAGGGCTAGGAGCTCACTAAGGGTAGCTGTTACTTGTTTGAAACTGTTTATGAAGTTGTGAGGCATGAGCCAAGACCACCCCTTTGTATGGAAAAGCCACTGTTAACAACTTGGGTGGGCCTATAAGTTGGGTGGGGCAGAGCCCTAGGGGATCTCCAGGGTGGGGCAAACAGTGTTAGCCAAGTTGATGGAATTTCAGATATGGCGCCTGCCTGACACTCTATGGTTCTGTGGGAGAAGGGTTCAGAGAAGGGACAATGGCCTCTGCCCTCTTTTCTGTCTAACAGAAAGTTGTCCCTCAGCTCTCACCCTGATGTCAAATACTTCAGTTCCTCCCTGTAAAAAGGCACCTGTATTGGTGTCTTTTTAAGCTGTTGCCCCTGCGCAAGAGCTGAGAGGGAGTGAGTACAAATAAGTCCGTGTGTGAGTTCTTTAGAAAAAAACTGCTTGGGCCCTGGCTGGTGTGGCTCAGTGGATTGAGTGCTGGCCTTCAGACCAAAGGGTCACCAGTTCAATTCCTAGTCAAGGCACATGCCTGGGCTGCAGGCCAGGTCCCCAGTAGGGGGCATACGAGAGGCAACCACACATTGATGTTTTTCTCTCTCTTTCTCTCTCCCTTCCCCCTCTCTAAAAATAAATAAAATTGTTTTTAAAACACTAAAAAAAAAGGAACTGCAGAACTTTCTTCCATCAACTCAATCCCCATTGGTTTTTGCAGCCAGAAGTTATGGGGACTTATTTTCCTGGCACTGGAACCCTGGGCCAGGTGGTCTGGTATGGAGCCAGGACTCCTCACTCTTGTGATATCCCTCCCAAATTTTTATCTACCACATGTGGATATGGGACCAGCTCGCTCTACATCTCTGCCCCTCCTACCAGTATGGATGTTTATGGTTCCTTTATTTCCAGAGTTGTCAGACTTTCATTCCACTCAATTTCTGATGGTTCTGAGTGATGGTTGTTCTATAGTTTAGTTGTAAGTTTGATGTGGTTGTGTGAGGAAGTGAGCCATATTTATCTACACCTCCATCTTCTATTTTTAACTTTCAAGATAGTAAACACCAATAGATATAAAATACACAAATTCTTATAAGTATTATTATAAAGGAGGACATAATATGAAAGTATATAAAGGAGATATAATGAATTGAATGAAGAAATATCAGAGTAAAACAGTGACATACTAGTAGCAGGTAATAAATTGTAATGAATATGATTTTCTGATAAAAAATCATGGAGGCAGAAGGAAGAGGCACAATGTTTTTAAAGTGCTAAAATAAAATAGAATCATAGATATGGAGATCATTTGGAGAGTTATCAGCTGGGAGGGGGAAGGGGGACAATGGGGGTAAAGGTACAGGGATTTAGAAGCATAATTGGGTAGGTACAAAATAGACAGGAAGATGTTAAGAACAGTAGAAGAAATGGAGAAGCCAAAGAACTTACATGCACAACCCACATGATGGGGGACTTAAGAGCTGGAAAATTTTATATTAAGGCAAAAAGTTATAAGCTTAGCAAGTAATGTATATGTTAAAGCTTTTTTTTTTCCAGAAAGAATGGATAGATAAGGCCCATCCTGGCTCCTGGGAAGACAGCCAACCTCCTGGGGCACTGCTAAAGATTACCACCTGGGGACAACTGGAGGCATACAGGCCTTTGTGTTCCAGGGAGAGACTGAGACCACCTCCACCTTGGAACAGCTAACTGCCCAGGACAGGAATGTTGCAGCTTCTTTCACTTCATCCTCCCTGAATCTCAAAGCCCTCACAGCACCTTGTTTATTCTCTGTTATAAAAAGTCTGGCCTGGAAAGAAAAGGGAAGATGGTCTGTTAGGGTATGAACCCACGATCTTCTCAGATTGCCAGCCATCTGAATAAAGCACCATAAAGATTCAATCACTGTCATTGCTTATTGAGTTTGGTAGTGACAGGCAGCCCAATACCAGTGTCTTTTCTGGTTTCACATGGACA